CGGAGTCGTGAGGCGCGGGGGTCTCGCCTCCCTCTCCCCGTGGAACGACGCCTACAAGGGGGGGTCGGGTGCACCTCACTCCACGCGCTCGGCCGGAGTCAAGGGGCGGGTGGGCCGCGTGTGTGGCTGTGCGTACGATGCCTGCAAGTGCAGATGTGGATGAGGTGCGTGTGTACGAGATTGCCTGTGGTGAGCGCGTGCGTGTGCGGGGCACCCATCGCATGTGCGGGGTTCTGTGGGGGAGTGCCTTTCACCTCCTCCGCCTGCCGCGCCGCCTCCGCCGCCGCCTCCACGGCCGCCGCCTTGGCCTTGGCAGCGCGCGACGCCGGCGACTGGCCCAGCTTGCTCGCCTGTGCACACATGCGTGGGTTAGTGTGGCGGGCTAGTGTGGGCTAGCGTCGGTCTTGCTTGCTAGCTCGGTTCGATGCTTGCGGTCCGATCCTCGCGTACGGCCCGGCGCCACCGTCGCTTGCCGCTCGCGCCTTCTTGGGCAGTCCAATCGAGCGTCGGACGGTGCCTGCTTCGGTGTCGATGACTGCCTTCGCTTGCAGATCCGCCGCCGCTGCCTCGGACCCCGCCAGCTTCTTCGCCGTCTCCACCGCCTCTGCTGCCGCCTCCGCTGCCGCCTCTGCTGCCGCCACTGCCGCCGCTGCTGCCGACGTCCGCTCGTCCACTTGCTGGGCCAGACCCGCCGCCGATGCCACGGACGCCGCCAGCTTCTCCGCCGACTCTGCCAGCTTCTCCGCCGCCGCCGCCAAGGCCTCCATCCTTTCCTTCCGAAGTTCCGCAGGATTCATCGCTCCGCTTTCTACGGGATCTTCCCCCATGAGACGTGTGTGTTTCCGAGTATCATTCCACTTCCACCTCAAGGAATTCGACCATGTGCTGCCTCCCCCGCCGGCTCGGACCAACGAACGCAAGTTGCGCAACCTGGACCCCCCTTGCACTATGCAAGCCGCGGCGGCGAAGACACCGACGGCGAAGACACCGGTAAACATGCCGAACATGATCAGGCTGTTTGGGTGAGACCCAATGTAGGGCTCCAACAACAGCCCAACGTTGCGATTCCTGAAAAAGTCGAATTCTGACGTCGGTGGAGGTGGCGCAGTTGGCGGCGGCGGCGGGCGCGGAGGGGGCGGGCTTGGCGGGGGCGGCGTCGGGGGCGGCTGGGGCGGCTGGGGCGGCGGCGGCGGCGGCGGGAGTTCGGGCGGCGGCCGTGGTGGGGGAGGAGAGGGCGGCTGTGTAGGTGGTTGCGGGGGTGGTGTCGGTGGTGGCGAAGAAGGCGGCGGAGTTCGTGGCGGCGGAGACGGCGCGGGCGGCGATGGCGGCGGATGTGATGGCGGCGGCGGGGGTGGCGGTTGATGCGGCGGTGGACGCGGCGGCTGACTTGGTGGCGGCGGCATTGGCGACGGTGGTGGTGATGGTGGCGGCAGCTTCGGTGGCAGCGAAGGCGGCTGTGGTGGATGGGGCGGGGCCGGCGGGGGAGGCGCGGGCGAATCAGCCGATGCTCGCAGCGGTGGGAACGGAGGAAGCACATAACGGTATTGCTGCGCTATCATTTGCCCGCCTGTTCTCGTTGCCAATGTTTGTGCCGGCGGCCACGCCGGATTCAGCGGTGGCGATCTGGGCAACGGCGGCGCCGATGGAATCGGCGGCGCCGATGGTGGAAACGGCGGCGCCGATGGAGGCGGTGGCACG